TCAGAGATACTTTCCACCATGAAATTTTCATCATCGTTTTATTATTCATAACAAATTACTTCATTTTAGATAGGATTAGTTATCTGTTAGACATAAAGTATCAGCGTAACCACATATTTACCAAAGATGTTACAATTATGTAAATATTGAAAATTACAGATCAATTAAAGACCCAATACATAACAGGTGCCTAGAAACAATTTACCAGACAAGAAATAATTAAATCATGGATGAAAACTGAAATATTCCAACAACAAATACGAATTTTATCAGAAAGGGGTTTTGTAAAGATTGTAGTTTTTTAATAGTTGAGTTCATGAGTCGATTAGAGCTAGACCACCATGAAAAACCTGGAAGCACTGGACGGTCATTTCGTCCTAGTATGGGACTCCTCAGCAGTGCTTAACTATGATCCCACTCGCGATATTCAAACCCAGGATCTTCGGTCTCACGCGCGAACACTTAACCTCTAGATCACTGAGCCGAAATTAATACCGTTAGATGCCAGCTCAGTGATCTAGAGGTTAAGTGTTCGCGCGTGAGACCGAAGATCCTGGGTTTGAATCTCGCGAGCGGGATCGTAGTTGAGCAATGCTGAGGAGTCCCATACTAGGACGAAACGACCTTCCAATGCTTCCAGGTTTTTCATGGTGATCTAGCTTTAATCGACTCATGAACTCAACTATTAGGAATACGAATCTGTTATTAGTTGACGAACTGAATTTCTCCCAGTTATGTTATCACCTCAGCAAAACCATGTAAGAGTTTTTTAAAGAATAGTGACAAAAATTTGATGTCATTTTTGTAGGTCTTATGCTCCATGAGTCTGTTGTCTGAAGTTACAGTGATAATACAAAACCTGTGATTACTTCGATGCCGTAGACATGTGAACCGTACTCAATAATCAAAGATGGATAGTGGTTAGTAGTGGAATCCAGAACGCGCGTTTCATCCTATTTGGGACTCATCAGCTGGATGTACTTGCATCTCAGAGTTGATGTTCACTCTGGGACTCGGATCCAGTACCTTTCGCATCAAACACCATCGCGTTATCCACTCAGCACATATGCCAATAAGAGACTGACCAGTTGCAGTCCTAAGCATTAATGGGAAGATTCAAACAAACAATACTAATTGAATTCATATACAATAATCTTTACTCTAACTAATAATTCCAGTGAAACTTCAAGATCTTTTATTCTACGTATGAAGAATTACAGAATTTGTTGTGTTTTGTAAGACCACAGACATCTAAACTAGGTGTTTATGTTCATCAGAGTAATATACATTATCGTATGTTGAATCAAGTGACAATTCGGAGTTATCCACTGCAAAAAAAACTCCCTCACTAACTGTTGCCACTTACATCAAATGTAAAATACTGACTTAATGATTAATCACCCAAGTCTTCTTTCTATATTTCAAAAAAATTGAATTTACTTACTACAGACGACACTGAGTTCATAACATGTGAATGACGCTCAAGATTTAGTCGATTTAATGATTTTTTTTTCTCATAACATATTAATGAATTATGCCTGAGACTCGATCAACTAACTGTGTCTGAAGGATAAAACAAAATTTTAAAAATAAAAAAAAGCTGAAACTGACATAATAAATTTGAGCTGTCATGTTCAGTCCTTATGATTTATTGAAGTTACAACTATCTTTACTGTGATTGGTTGTTATTTACACTAATAACCAAATGACATATCCAATATGCTGCTAATGCATATCGAATCGCTGAATGGATGATGAAACTCATTTATTGATCAACATGCACTGATGTTAGATTGTTTACTGACAATTATTATAAGTACTCACTCGTAAAAGAATATCAGACAACAAAATGATTAGTTTATGAGTGAAAAATAAGGCTCTGAAGCACTCAATTCAATTTCACACGATTAAGCTTGGTGTATTTGTATCCTTCGTGTCAAAAGAAAATTCACTATATTAGGTAGGATGCCTCAAACTGCATCATTTATTTAGAAGATAGTTTTCAATACAGACTCCTCAGTAGTATGCACCCACACACAATCAGGGATCGAACTTATAAATTCCAAGTTTCAGAGTGAGCATTATATCTTCGATACTATGAGTTAGAACCAAATAATCTACGTATCGTTATCATCATCTAATCCTGTCGGTGATATTGTCACACTTCTTACATGGTTAGATCTCACACTTAATAGCCTCTCATTTAGAACTAAGGGAGTTTATGTCGAAGCTAGCAATAAATGATTACATGGTTATTTTTGAAAGTTTTTCAATATAAAGTAGTTATCGATAAAGGTTGACATCAGCTAAGGAACCACTGGAAAGTAGTAGGTTGCAATAGTTGTTTCAAATTAGATTGCTGAACTTTGAAAAATAATTCAACTTCTTGTTTCCTCAGTGTCTTATTAAACAGAAGACAAGATGATACATTACAGAGGTCAACTTGGAATGGACAATATACGATCTTTCACAGCTGAGTCCTTTTAAACAGAAAACGAAACTTAATTCAATCTTTGTCATCAAGGGATAGGCGAATATGCTTGGAGGATATGATAGATGAAGAACTATCCAACTTTCTACAGATATCCCTTAAAAATAGCTATCTATCTTGGTTCGCTGATCAAAACATGGGACCTAAATTATAATATTCATATAGTTCGTAAGAAGACTCTCTTCATGAACACTGTGTTCAAGGGAAATACTGATGCATAAATTTTGAAGAATCGTTTGACGACATCTAAACGCATCTTCGAACATTATCCTTTGTGACTTTCGAAAGATAAATGTTAATCAATCAACAGGTCAACATTAAGACATTTTGTGAACTTCGACTACGTACACCGCCTGATAATTCTTTTAAAATCATCCATACAAGCAGATTTGGTTCGAAAGGAGACTGAATCAATAACTTATGTTTTGCAGAGGCAATATCATTACATCTTTTCAAACCTTAACACTGAGTTCAAAAGAGACACATCCAAACAATCATTCATCCATAGCCCTAACACTTAATTTTCAGAAACGATAATTTGATTTCATTACATTCTTCGAATGTCTTAAATCTCTTTAACTTTAATTGTTCGTTCTAATCACCTTCACGTTTTTAATTTGTTTTTCCCCCTTTTCATACACATTAAGTGAACAATTATTCTTTTTAAATCAGATTTCGTCTCATTATCTTTCCCCAATTCTCTATTATTAAGCAACTTTCTTTGACACATGATATGAGGTAATCATCTTCCCATTTTTCAATAGACTATATTTGTTATAAAGTAACTATAAGATTGTAGAGCTTGAGTGAATGATACCATCAAAAAGAAAATTTTCTTCGCTGAATTGTTTTAATTCTTCAGTTACTCCATGGATTACTTTTATTATTTCCGGACTTCTTTACATGAACCACACGCACGCACAACCATGTAACGGAGCATAATCTAAATAGATTTCAATCGATGAGCAGACATTTATTAATGTTTATAGGGTGAACACTGGAAACTTTAACAAAATATCCATTTATTTGTATTCTAACTCGCGCTTGATAATGAATAATAAAGACTACTGGTTTTGAGATAACAGTAAAATTATGCATAACCTATCCACATTCACACAAACAGTAGGCAATTTAACAATCTTATCTAATATTCACAGAATTCATTTATAAAGATACAAATAGTGATATTCCGTAGTCCGCATCACTGGATCCCTGCATCATCAATATGATGGGAGGATTTTTTGTAACAACAGAAATGCTGTAGAGCTCGGTCAAAGGTAATGTCTCAGACCATTAATTTAGTTAGTGAGGGTTCGAATCCTAAAAGCGTCACCAATTCCTTCAATATTAGAGGTAAGTCTTTTTAATGAGTACAAACAAGCATTAATTCCATGTCTTGGTAGATCTTGTCAACTAAATTCAACCACCTGACATCAAATACAATGCAATCTATCGTTAAAAGGTATAACTTAGTATTCTACTAACAAAAATTAAATTTGATAAGTCGGCTTGAAAACTGTAATCAGATACCCCCAGACTATTAAATTATTGATGAATACAATTTAATTTTAATTGATGCTAAGAGTTTTGTTGCAACAGTTTCTTTTTCTTAACCAAAATCAGGTTTCTGACGTATCATAAAATTCGACAAGACCTTCAAGGATTTCAGGGTATTTATTAGTGATATGTCAGTCAAAAATCTAAAATCTACATTAACAATCGCCTTTATTTCTTAGAACAGCAATCATTTTATAGCATGTTCACTGATCAAAAGTTATTATTCTAGAATATATAGAAACTTTTCATCAATACACATTGAATCAATAAGTTTAGAGTTTTGGCTGTCCAGAATTTATTCCCTTTAAGTTCTACTGGTAAAAAGCTTTCACTGTTATTTTCCTTCACCAATACAGTTAGTAACTTCATTAAATTATTAGTAATAAAAGGATGGTATTTCATAAGACCCGGATTCGGTTGTGAAATTTACACTAAAATCATTACAATACCAGTGAAAATGTTCTATTTATGCTTCACAACACCGACTGTACTGATAACCTGTGTGCAGCGTTAATTAGTTCAAACGTGTAGAAGTTTTGCGCATATATTTTTAAATATATTCCGTTTTGTATGACTAGTGTAGGTTGCAACATCTACATTGTTACCTGTCCGACATGAATTAGTATTCAGATCAACCATACAGTGAATGGCCTATCACGATAACAACGACATTTAGTTCTAATTAGATCAATAGATACGTATGTTACCGATACAATGAAAGTGACCTGTTCATTTATATTCTAAACTTGAAATATACGAAGCGTATTTAATATGTATGCCATATGGCATCAAATCAGTTTGTACGTAGTTCAGTCATTTCGTAAATTTTTGGTTTGTGCTAAATAATGTAAATGAATTTTTACTGTGTGTTGGTTACTTATTCGTTTAACTGTGTTGATTAATGAATATTATACATGTATAAATATCTGAATAAAATATTTTAAAGTTATACTTAATCACCATGCATAGATATACAATTGTCACCACTAAGATCTAAACAATGAGGTACATTACTAACTAACTGACAACTGTTCCATTTTAAATGATTTTTAACAAAAATGATTGGTATTGCTAAGATAAATTGTGTGCTTTTCTCTTTACTCACAATAACACGAATAGAACTAACGGCTAAACGAGTACATATTTCTTTTGACAACATTGCATCAGTGATGATATGTATTGAATTCTAACACGAGTATTTTAAGTAAATCTACTTTGATCATCATAAAAGTCTGCTTGCAGAATGATGCAACCTATAGATACAAACAAATAAATAGTATGGATTATTTAGGTAGTTTGTTGTCATAAAATCCTATTGAAAGAGTGTGTTCGTCTCAAATTGATATTATTTGGATAGTCACTAAGATCCATAAAGTACTGAACAGCTTGTTCGTACTATTCTGAGAAAATTCAGCAGTGTACGCTAAAGGAACTATAAAAGGTTAAACCATAGACCTTTCGGGTTTATAACAAGAACTGTGCATCTAGAACTCTAAGTTAAACCATACTCTATCTCTAATTTCCAGGAAATTTACTCATCAAATCATCAAGAAGCACTTATCCCGGTTCTTTCTGTGCAGCTGTTTATAAATTCATAAATTCAATGGACGGTATGGTCGTAAATATTTAGATTTCTTATAGGTAGGTTTAATGAGAATTTCGTGTTGCAAACTGGAATCAATCCTAACAGAAAGTTTCTGGATCAGAAAAAATAAACATGGGTTATACACATTTCTATTCCAGGTTTTGATTCATACTGCTAAGTTGTTGAAATTACTCTCCGTAGCCATGGGCCAAGTGTTGTACTGCTGAGTAGTAATCTGATTTATTGGATATATATAGGAGAGAGAGAGAGAGATTTAACATGAATTTTTAAGCATTGTACATTATTACTTTTGTATCCCGAAGAGAATTGTGAATGGTAACTTTGAGGACTATTTACGGACCAATATAATATGTATATTACCTATTGTATAATGATTAAGTAACTGAACTATTCATATTCGTATCCGTCTTATTATTAGCTTTATTTTGACCTATAGACTATTATTATACGATTTACCATTCTTGGCTTATCCTTAGTCCATGAATTACTGTACCCCCTATTCACAGTCACATTTGACTAAATACTGTACAAACGTTATTTTCTATTTTATGGTACGATGTGGTCAGTTTGTTTGGTATATAAACCCAGTATGTTTGAGAATAATAATGCAGAGGCTGTTATTGGTGTTCTGGACCCAGCTGGCTGGGCTAGGCAGAAAGCAGGATCGATAAGCACTCTAGACTGCTCGTACGGTTTTCGTGTGTCACTGTCCCAATCGATAATTCGCTCTTCTCTGATTTGCGGATTTTATCAAGTCATACATTAACAAGTCATCTACTCGATCACAAGATATAACAATTACTTTTCAGAAAACATTCAAAACTATTCTCAACTGTTTGACGGTCCTGTTTCTTCTTAGTGACTTTTACTCCACTCCTTCACAAACATTGGGATCTTGAATTCATTTGTATTGGTTGAGTTTTTCATTGATGTTTAGGATATCAACTGATCAGTCTCTCGGATAAGCGGCTGGCTGTCGGTTTTCAGTAACTAAGTGGATAATCCGATGACGTCTGAAGCGAATGGTATTGAGTACAAGTCGCGGAGTGTCTATCAACCTCAGAATGTGCATTCTCCCAACTGATCAGTCCAAAGTAGAATGAAACGTATATTCTGAACTCCACTGGTAGCCACCAACCAACTTTCCTTATGGAGATCTTGAGTTTGATTTATTTTTAAATGTAATTATAAGTTAAACAGTTTGCCTTAGTCTTAATTGACATTGATTAAGTGAACGTGATGCATAGGAGTAGGATGAAAGAAAATCAGAAGCTATCAAACCAAGACTTGACATTAGTTTATCATGTCAGTGATTGTTGGAGTGCACTGTGCAGGTAGGTTCAGAATACCTGGTTAGTTTCCGTGTAATTACTGTGATCAATAGTTGGAGACTGCATGATATGGCTCAGAATTCGTTGTAATGATATAAATGAATTCACTCATATTGTAAATCCTCAATCTTTTCGGCTACTACTACTTCTGATATTTTTGCTACTCCTACTACTCTGAAATTTGTCTTGATAATTTCATCTCACTGTGTTGAGACGTTGTGACAACTTGGACCGATACATATAAGTCCCAAGTTCTACCTTGCTTATAACTGACTGACTGAATGATCGGGAAAATATTTACAACAAAAAATAAACATTCTCTGGCATTCTTTTCCTTTTACCAATATTAAGAAAAAGGCTTCAACTTATGTAAAAACAAAAGTAGAAAAATTACGAAAACATTCTAGTTATTTTTCTACTTTCACCAATTTGTGGGAAAGTCCGAAACGTACACACTTAAATTTGGTCAAATTAGCGATTCATTTAGTACTTTTTAACTTAATTCTAACGTTAAACATTAGCGTGATTTTTCAATCCCTAAATAAATTGTAAAACATGAAAACAACTATAAGTTTTCCTCATATTTAAATGTGTATGTACAGATAGAGGTATCATAACAGGCTATAGTTGGCATTAATACTGTTACATTGCCAAATAATGCTCCCAGAGTTATTAGCTTGACGCTGTGTGGCCTGATTGAGGTCGCTTTTTGCAAATAGAGCTTAACAAATAGCATAAATTTATTTCCATCTCTCTCTCATTTTGTTTGTTCTGATAGGCTAACACTTCTATTCTACTACCTACCTTGCATTGTGACGGCGGCATAGCGACGTGGTCACAAGTTTAATAGTGTGTCCCTCTGTCCTAATAACCAAACTAACGCAGGCAGATGAATTATGGTGTTGGCATGGCTACCTACTAATTGATTGAATTTTTTATATTTTGGCCAGGATGCGTTTGTCCATTTTTCCGCCATATACCTTTTGTTCTACGGCCAGCATACGCCCTTGTGTTTAATAATGGTCCAACCAGTCTGTTTATTGTATGTCTGTCTTCTTTTAGACAAAGATCGACATGGCTTCACGTAGTTAGATCAACCATCTGTCTGAACACTTTCAGTATGGCGGGCTGACCTCAGTGTGCACTTAATACCAAATACATAAATAGAAATCTAAACATCATAGTTAACTGGCATATCTATTGGATAAAGTTCTATTTCCTATCGTTCAGTATGTCCATTATCTCCAAACAGCCTGACAAAATTAGACAGATTGGTCAAACCCACAAAAAACCACGATCACATCTCTCCTAATATCATCTGACATTTTAGTTCTTCACTTAGCTAACTGATTAAACAGCTGTATGTTGGTAAATCCTAGATTTTAATCCTATATACATTAGGAGAGAAAAATATTGAAAGATATGTGTACAAAGAGACGATAAAGAGTGAGGGTGAGAGAAATGACAAGTGGAGGAAGATAGAGAGAGAAAAAGTAGTGATGGGTGTAGCTTCAAGCCACATTAACGAAATGTTTGTCTGAATAACCAAACTAGGTCACATCTTTTTTTCTTCTATTGTAAAATAACTTCCATACTCCGATAGAAAAATTGTTTGTCACGTAAACCCATTAGGAGCATCTAGCCTGACAGAAAAATCATTTAATGTTCATCAAAACAGAAAATATAATCATTTATAAGAACTCTCGTCTAAATTAGAGCGAATAGTTTCACAGTATTTGAGCGCCGAGTTGATGTAAAACATTAAATAGGAATAATATATATTTGTAAAATCTCAGCGAACGAATTTGTAGTATATCCAACGTTTCGCTGATTCTGAGTACTGCCAAGTTGTATCTCCTCATTTCCATTGCTATTTGACTGGTCTTTCCTGTCTCCCACATTGTCCGGACGTTCCATGTACCTATAAAGAGTGTTTCTCTGGTTGTTAGAAGGTGCATCGGTCTCGTGACTTCCGAAAAATTTCGACTTTCATCATGAGACGTCATAATTATTACTTCAACTCCCAGGGAAGAGTTTAAATGGTTTGAATTATTTTTTCTGGTTAGCGCTTTTTTGGCGAGTTAATTTTTCTACGGGATGGGGTCGCTAACCCCATGCCCAACCCTCCTCCTTTACCGGGGCTTGGGACCGGCAGTAACTCTAGAAGAGCTACAGGCGGAGTTGATTCTTTGATATATATATAATTCCTATTTAAATATAATCATTCCTCAATATCAAGAATACACTTACATCGTCACCGGGTTAGTGATATATATATGAGTGTATCTTCTACATACCTTAATAGATAACATTTATGATATGATGAATTCCGTGTTGAAGTTCCAATGAGATCACCAATAAGAGTTTTGGTAAAGTTCCATTCTCTAAGTTTAATGATTTGATCGTCAAACTTTCATTGGTCCTCTAAGCAACATCATTAACACGGAATTTTGATAGAAGTAAGCGGGATTCTGGTAAATGACTGAAAGGCCTTGTTGTGCTTACAACCACACATCGTTAATTCAGAAACTGTTTTATTGATAAGGTTGGTTTTTATGACAGTACTACTGTTCGACTAAATAGCGTGCTATTTGTTATGTTATAGTCTTTTGAATCTATGAGAAATGAAGCTGACCACACTGTTGAATCACATACCTTAAATCTTTCAGAATTTTTTTATGCAACGGAGTTAGATTCACATGCATTTAATTGGTATTCATGAAAAGAAATACAATCAAACATAAGCGTTTATATCAGTAATTTGCAGCATGTTTTTAAGATATGCATATTTGCAACCGAAATTGATTATCCTAACAACTTAAACAGGACTACTGTAATAAAACTGTTCGCATTTGAGTAAATCTTACATATTTCTTAAAGCGATCTGTAATAGAATTGTTAAACTTCGAAAGGAGTTTTCACTTAAATACATTTAAGATATTAGACGATAGAAAACTAGGTGATGAACACCATTTGGAAATTTTGTGTAATAAAGTCTCAGTTACTAGTTTTGTCGGTTGAATAGAATTCATCACCCAACATCAACTTCATTGACTACGAGTAGGCATTTAATAGCGTGGACAGGACGACACTATGGAGGCTGCTTCGACACTACGGCGTACCTGAGAAGATCGTCAATATCATACGGAATTCTTATGATGGATTAAACTGCCAAATCGTGCACCGGCTCATTCGAGGTAAAGACCGATGCCAGGCAAGGTT